CTGGATACAGGATCCTGGGTTGAAAATTATTTTGTTTTTGGAGATTAAAAGTCGATGACCATCCTCTTCTAGCCTAAAAGGTTTCAGCAGACAGATCTATAGATTGCTTTCTAAGACTTGCAACTTGCCTCAGCAGAGTTGTCCTGCAGATATCACTTTTCTCTCTCGGCTGGGCTCCTAGTCTTCAACTTTGTAGGGTATTTTCTGGACTTTATCCTACCCTCTGGATGGGAGCTTCTGTCAGAGGCTGGTACCTGTCAGCCATCTTGCTCTTCCATCCAAGTTCACTTCTGAGTAAAGAGGTATTTAAAAAGCACATTTTTGGAAGGTAGACTAGAGTTTTTTGTTTGTTTGTTAGTTTTTGGGGGGTCAGGACAATGTGAATGCAGGATTTAGTTCCCTTCCATAAGTCAGAGTCTAACATGGTTACCAAGCTTGGGGAGAGGTGAGCATTACATTGGTACTTGTAAGGGAGACAATGGAGTAGACACAACATTCTCACTTCAGTACTTTGCAATGATCAAAGGACCGCCAGGAGTTATAGTGCACACAAATTATTTTGGAAATAAACAGAACTTGGCTTTTTCATGAAAGCATAATTACAAAGCATATCTTTTTAAGAAAGAATTATCCTCATACATATGAACAATATTACGAAAAACACACCTGAAGGCTTTTTATGTCTGTTCTTTGGTGAGCATCCATCAGCCTAACAGCCAGTGCATACTAAGCAACACATATTCATATTTAACCACAAAAAATACTCATGCATATTCCTGTTCTAGGGATCTTAGGGATATAGAGAAACAAATGTAGGAGCAGGGTAATAAGATGTAAGTCAAGAAAGCATATAGTAGGTGTAATGAATGTTTCACTTCCATAAAATATTTGGAATCAGGATACTTGGAATGTAGTGGGAGGGGGAGAAATCAGATAACGGTTAAGGGAAAAGTAGCATGTAATAAAGCATATTTCTAAATGAGAGGTGAAGGAGGCTGCTTCACAAATGAAGAGACCATGCAAGTCATTGATAGGGGATCTATTTGAGTTTCATTGTATGTCTGATTTCATTGGAGGATGGTGTAGATTCATAGTCACCATGAAGCATAGTGTTACATAAATTTTGCCAAATTTCAACATTGATAAATTTAGTGATGAGGGTGAAGAATTAAAAGTTCATCCTCTGCTAAAGTGGCTGTAGCAGTCACAGGGGAAAATACCAAACTCGGAATCTAATTAATCAGGTTTGAATGGCATGAAAGAGTAATGGCAAAGCCTTCAGAGACTCAAGTCCCAATAGTCAGCAGGTAAAAATAAAATGGGATCTGCTTAATGCTCACCTATCAGACAAAAGGACGGATAGACTTGCTTATCTCCAGTAAGTTTCTGAATGGTTACATTTAAAGAATATAGGGGAAAATATCTTACATTTTGGAAAAGTAGAGATTATTGAGGGATTCGTAAGTAAATGCTATGCCTATTTAATCTTCAGCTCTGCAGTTTAATGGTCAATGGTACTTTTGTCGTTAGGGCTTTATGAGCTTAACTGACCTCATCTTTCATTTATAAAGATAGAAAGATTTTACAGATTTTACTTTTTTATAGTTTAATCAAAACTAATAAATAAATCATTACTTTTAGAAAGTAACTGTGTTATTATTTATCATACATGGAAATTTAAGAGTAAATGTTGAATTATCATAAGGATACATATGATTACGCTACATTGTTTGCATTTATTAGAAAAAGTCTGAGTGGTAGTTGAACCCTGCACTCAGGAGGTGAGCCAGTATACACCTACACTGTACCCATTAGTTGGGAACTTACCAAACCCCCTCCAATCCTCATCGCTCCATCCCACCTACTTGAATTTAATCATGCTCTTCCTTTCCTGTGGACCTGTAGTTGTTTATTTACTAATTTCCACATAGTACCCAGTGCATGAGATACTTGCTTTCCATTCTTGAGATACTTTATTAAGGAGAGTGTTCTTGACTCTATCCAGGTAAATACAAAAGATATGAAGTCTCCATATTTCTTATGGCTGAATGATTTTAATAAGAGAAGTCAATTTAAAGGCCAAAGGTAAGCTTTTATGTACACATTACACATTGTACATAATATGTACAATTGTACTGATGCACATATTATAGTCTGTTGTTCTCACTTCATTTCATTACTTCTTTCTAGTTTTTCAAAGAATTTGCCTTTTGGAACCAGATGAGTCTTACGTGGGGTGATAAATGTTGTTGCAAAGAAGTGATGAGGAGTGATAGAATAGTTAGATAAAGGATGTTTCAGTTTTCAGCAAACTTTGAAGACACCACACCCAACAGAGTATGATAACAGTTTTATTAACCAATAATATGCAATATCATTGTGCATGATAAAATAAAGTATATTTCTTGGATAATGCAATTTGTCATATAAAATGCTCAGTCTTACATCTTCTGCGTTTGCCTTCCTGACTTTGGTGTTTCTCTCATAGTATTTTGAATCTGGAATGAATTTTTAGTTTATCGAAATCAACTGTCTGAGATTGGCCATGGAGGCCAAGACAAATCAAATATCTCAGGAATAATTACATATAAATTTAAAATCAATCTATGTCAACTTCCTACATGAGACCTTTTTTAGTTGTTTTGTTTTTACAAGATCATTTCTCTTTAAAAGTGACCCTTGACTAACATATTTTCTGAGGGTAAAGAGGAAAATTTACTGAAACAAATTATGTTCTACTTTCCAGATAATTTTTTTGAGGGGATATCCAGAAAATTCAAACCATAACTTATCATTCTCTTGATGATTTTTTTTTGTTTGTTTGTTTCATAACAGTTTAAAATAAGAACAAAGAAGAATGGATGGGGGGAATTGTTCATTAACAGAATTCTTTCTTTTGGGAATTACCAGTAACCCAGAAATCAAAGTGACACTATTTGCCACATTTCTTGTTATCTACCTCATAGATCTTCTGGCAAACCTTGGGATGATCGTTTTAATTAGAATGAATTGCCAGCTGCACACACCTATGTACACTTTCCTCAGCCACCTCTCTTTCTGTGACCTTTGCTATTCCACGGCAGTCGGGCCCAAGATGTTGATAGATCTACTTGGCAAGAACAAGCCAATTCCCAAGATTGGCTGTGCTCTGCAATTCTTCATCTTCTGCCTCTTTGCCGACTCTGAGTGTCTACTGCTGGCAGTGATGGCCTTTGATCGGTACAAGGCCATCAGTAACCCCTTGCTCTACACGGTCAACATGTCCAGCCCGGTGTGCTCCCTACTCATGGCTGGGGTTTACCTGGTGGGAACGGCGGATGCTTTGATACACACCACACTGTCCTTCCGCTTGTGTTTCTGTGGCTCTAATGAGATTAATCATTTCTTCTGCGATATCCCCCCTCTCCTTTCACTGTCTTGCTCAGATACACAGGTCAATGAGTTGGTGATATTCACTGTTTTTGGTTTTATTGAACTGAGTACCATTTCAGGAGTTCTTATTTCTTATTGTTACATCATCCTATCAGTCTTAAAGATTCGCTCTGCTGGAGGGAGATTCAAAGCGTTCTCAACATGTGCTTCCCACTTAACTGCAGTTGCAGTTTTCCAGGGAACCATGCTCTTCATGTATTTCCGCCCAAGTTCGTCCTACTCCCTAGATGAAGACAAAATGACTTCACTTTTCTACACCCTTGTCATCCCTATGCTGAACCCTATCATTTACAGCCTACGCAACAAGGATGTGAAAGAGGTCCTGGAAAAGGTGAAAAATAAAATTTTGTTTTAAATAAATAACGTATGTGCTATAAATAAATGTGTATTTCAACATGCACAAATGCACACTCTTCTTTTCTTCAAATCTTATAATATCAAGTGGTCTCAAATATCTTAATTGTATATAATATATATTTTATGAAGCACAATAGCAACATTTTGGAGTTTCTTTATTATGCATAATTCATTATGTGTCTTCAATTTAAGTAAGGTAAATTCTATTTTTGGAAAACTTTCCAGTTTCGAAAACTTTGCCTCATTTGTTTGATGTCTATTTTGTGCATTAATTTTTCTAAGCATTATCAGGCATTTAGTACATTCCATACTCACTGTTGTGTGTTTTGTATTTCATGGGGAAACCACTAGTTTCTATACTAATGACTCTTATAATGTAGTGGAAACTAGAAACATTAATTGACCAAACTTACAAATAATTCATAATCAACTATAAAATGGAATGAAATCAAGGGGCAGAATACTGTAAGCATCCCCAAAATGTGTAACTAGAATGCAGAGAAGAAAACAGTCTTAGATATTTTTCTTTTTCTTTTTCTTTCTTTCTTTTATTATTATTATTATTATTTTTTCAAGACAAAGTCTCCCTGTGACACCGTGGGGAGAGTGCTCACAGCAAACTCAAATTTGGGGGCTTGAACAATCCTCTTACCTGAGCCTCCCGAGCATGTGGTACTCTAGGCATCCACTACTATGCCTGGCTATATTTTTCTATTCTATTTTTAGTAGAGACAGGGTCTCGGTCAGGCTGATTGCCAACTCCTGAGGTCAAGCAATCCTCCCACCTCAATCTCTCAGACTGCTAGGATTACAGTCATGAGCCACTGCACCTGGCCTAGATTTTTAGATTTTTTTTTATGGCAACATTTAGTTCCAAATCCAAAAATGAATAGAGATATAATGGGTAATTGGTGGGAACACAATTACGGTGCATTTTACAAGGGTACATGTTGAATTTACTAAGTGTAGAGTATAAATTTTTTAACATAATGACTAAGAAAATGCAGTGAAGGCTACGTTAACCAGTTTGATGAAAATATTTCAAATGGTATATAAAACCAGCACATTGTACCCCATAATTGCATCAATGTACACAGCTATGATTTAATTTAAAAAAAAAGATACAATGGGTAAGCGGGGAGCAGAAAGGATTCTAGATGGAGAGGCTGAGAATTAGAAGTTCTGGGAAGGAAACACTTAGAGAAAAGGAAGCTCAACATGTAAGGATTCAAGAACAAAGTGAAAACCTCAGTAAAGCCCATCCTTGTGCTCAGATTTGCAGTCGGTCACTTCCACTCAGCTTCTCTTCCCGTTTTTCCCTTTCATAGCCCTGGTTAAATGCTCATCTTTGTGGTCGATAAATCATACTGTCCTCAAGGCTTTCTTTTATCTATTCTTCTTCCACTTACCAAACCATTGGCTCCAATGTGGAACTCAAGGGTCTCAAAGGCTGCATGTGGTGCGCCCGTCACCTCACCACTTGCATCATTCTCAGACACAACCAGAGGCTGAGAAGTTTAACAGAGAGGGGGGATGTTAATGATGCAAATGTCAATGGTTAGAAAAATGTAGTTAGAGAGAGTGAGAAAATTTATTAGTAGATAGTGCAACAGGGTGACTATGCTCTGCAATCATTTATTGTACTTTTTTTTGCAGTTTTTGGCTGGGGCTGGATTTGAACCCACCACCTCTGGTATATGGGGCTGGCGCCCTACTCCTTTAAGCCACTGGCACCACCCCATTTATTGTACTTTTAAAATAAAAAAATTTATCTTTTTTTTTATTAAATCATATCTGTGTACATTAATGCAGTCATGGGGTACAGTGTGCTGGTTTTATATACAATTTGAAATATTTTCATCAAATTGGTTGGCATAGACTTCTAGATTTTCTTAGTTATTGTGTTAAGACCTTTATATTCTACATTTAGAAAGATGCACATATACCCTTGTAAGATGAACCATAGGCGTGATCCCACCAATCATCCTCCCTCCACCCATCCTCCCCCCTCCCCTCCCCTCCCCCACCCCTCCCTTTCTCCATATTTTTGGGCTATAATTGGGTTATAGCTTTCCTATGAAAGCTACAAATTAATTTCAAAGTAGGGCTGACTACATTGGATACTTTTTCTTCCATTCTTGAGATACTTTGCTAAGAAGAACATAAAAAAATCTATCTTAACACAAAGAATTGTTAAATGCTTGAGTCAATGGACACCCAAATTACCTGATTTTATCATTAGACAGTGCCTATATTAAAACATCACATGTACACCATCAATATATATACCTACTATGTACCTATAATAACTAAAAATTAAAAAACAACAAATAAAGAGTATTATATATTCAAATAAACAAATCATAAAAATCAACACACGGTATATCATTCTTGAGTGCTTGTTAGATATATCAAAGTATAATTAACTAAGTGTAGGATATGTGCTTTAAGTGTACATTTTCTAGTTTTATGAACGTAGATAAAATGGTGGTGGATACTATGACATTGAATCCATCAAGATGTGCCGATTCATTACAGAGAAAATAAGGAGCCTTCATTGGGGGGCTTTGTTGATGTTCAATGACTTCATCTGGCTCTGCTCAAGTTCTTGATGTTAAAACACAGACAAAAGCCTGTTCAGAAACCATGGCTATGCCCACGTATTTGAAAAATCATTGACACTTTTATTACCCATTAAAATTGTACAAGTTAAAAACAAGCTAAATGTGTGAGGTTTTCTAGCTACCATTGTACAATGTGCTTCTCGAAGAACATTTCAGAATGAAAGTAACACTCAGGAGCCTCCTATGCCTTTCAAGAAGGCATTCATGACACATTGTACCAGGTTAGAGGAAAGCACAGTGATGGCAAAAACCTATGAGGATTGCCTCTTAAAAATAAATAAATGAAACAAAACAGATTTTAAAGTTTCTGCTTATGGCACACGCGTGTTCTCAATGTACCAATATTTTATTAATCTTTCTTATGAGCAGCAGTAGGGCAGAAAACGTCATTTGAATTATTAGTAAAGTTCAGACACATTGGAGGGTCAGCGGATTGCTGCTGATGTACATGATATAAACAATGTCTCCTTCCATAAGATAGTTACGTCAGGGGAAGATCAATTTGGTCTGCCTGTTGGCTTTTTAATAACATCTACTCGGTGTGAACTAATTAAAAGGAAATTCCAGCCCCAATACAGGCAGCATGTTAAGCTTAGTAAATACATATATGTCTAAATATAAAAAAAAAGTTGATGAATTATAGGCTTCATATGTTTGAATTTGCACAAATAAAATTACTTATTGGACATATTGTTTAGACAATTCATAACTTAAATGGGAATTTGGGGCAGATCGCCTGAACTAACCATTTCATCTTGGGATTCACAAAAATAGGGGAAATGTATGTCGAAGCTCTTTAATCAGTTCTCGCTATCCTAACTTGATCACTGCCATCCCCTTCCGTTCTGTTTTTCTGCACCACTTTCTCCGGACACCATCACCTACAACTGATGGAAAGTGTTGTGCAGATGTGATATGACCAGTGACAGTGTGCCAGGGGTTAACCTGTGAGCATGCTTCTATCAGCCCTCAGCCTCGGCACCGAGGTGCCGACCATAACAATGACACAGCGATGGTAGATTAGGAAATACAGGGTGTCCCCGAAGTTTATGTGCATTTGCTATGTTAAACTATTTTAAATTGCACATGACGTTTATGTCTACCCTGTATACATTATACTGTGAAGAGAGAGCTACGTCCCAGTGACAGATTGTATGATTACACTTGTTAAAATAGAGCTATCATAATACTAAATGATCCGGTAAGGGAGGGGTCCTGTGTTAAAACCAGAGGCAGCAGCTGTCAACCTCTCTAGACATCTCTCTCTAGAAATGTACTATTAACTACGCACACAATGCCACTCTAAATTTGTAGTAAGTCACCCTTCCTCACTAGACTGCACTAACTCCTCTCCCCAAATAGACAGGATTATGCTAAATTATCTATAAGGTCCTTTTCTCAGAGCCATATTTTCTATCTATGTGTACATGAGTCTATTATCATCTAAACCTATCCACACTATTAGACATGCAATATTTTTTTAAAATAAAAAGTAAAAAATTACAAAACAAGGACAAAAATAATAAGAGGCTTTGTTTTAATACAAAAGAACTGCATTGTGTGTCCAGACTATTTTGACCTTAAAGGACAAAGACAATGATAGCAGCTAGAGTGAGTGAGCTGTGACAGGCCAAGTACTTTTCAAACACATCCCCAGTTACTGGACTTCCCTTCTGCACCCAGCCGTTAGTACACAGGTCACAGGAGTAGTTATACAACTGTTCAGGTAAATAAAAATGAAAAGCTCAATGTCGTGCTCCGCCTCACCTAAAATGACTACAGTGAAAATGATTGATAACATTCATTTCAAGCATCAGTGTTGATATGGAACAACTGCAGCTTGTCCGTGTGTGTAGCAGATGTCAGAGTTGATTCAACTTTGCAAAACTGTTTGGCAATAGCTACCGTAGTGGGACATATGCAAACCTTAAGGCACAAAAAATTTCCACTCCTTGCTTTATACCCAGTAGAATTGAGGGAATATGGACAACAAAACTTGCACAGAGATGATCATAGTAGCGTTCTTTAGAGGTTGGTGAGGAGCCTGTGGGATGTTTGTTGGTTAAGATGCTGCACACAATGTAAATGAATGAACCACCACCACCTGCAACAGGACAAAAGACTCTCCCGTAACCTGGGGGAAGGAATCCACACAGACAAGAATAAAAATTTAGAAGTAAAATAATACAGACTGAGCTTTTTCAGTTCTAAATTTTTTAACCATATCAAGCCAAGATATTATACTAAACATCAATTTATATTAGGGTCAAGAGACTGTCTCTGAAATGCTGATTGTGTTTTGTTTTTCGTTCTGGATTCTGGGCACAGAAATGTTTTTATTTCTGAAAACTTCACTTGGTTATGTGTGTGTCTGTGTTGTGTAAAATGTTTTCACAAAACAAAAGCTATTTACTATCAGGGTTTCGTCTTTACTTTTTAAATCTTTAATAGTTTCTAAAACATAATATATGCTCAAGCTATGCTTGTAAAATTAATAAAGCACACAACCCTCATAGAATATTTTTTTAAATAATTATCCTGTATGTTGCTAAAAGTATGCTTCCTTGCTTGAACAGCATAGATGTCAGTAATCCACAGGCACTGATTTTTCTTGTTTTAGCAAGAGGAAGATTAGTGACCCTGGTTTTCCATGATACCAGTATCATGCACTCGATTTATTTAATAACAGAAAATCACTCAGGGCCAAGGAACTATTTTCTAAAGAGTTTTATAAGCAGCCAGTTTTCCATGTACTGTCATGTTTAAGGGCATCAACAAAGCCAGGAAAGTCCTGCAGATAATTTTATTTAGACATTTGTTCACTTGTTCCTGTTGTCTTAAATTCTACCTTTCATCTGTCCCCCCATGATTAAAACAAGTCATTTTTCTATTAAAGTGCAAATCCCTTGGAAGGTAATTTAATCTATCCAGTTTTCAGCAATATGTTACTACCTATGCTCTGATATAATGGGGGGAGGGACTTAGACTCCACATGGGAGAGCAGCCCTGATTATGAAGTCACAGTTTGGAATCTGCTGAAATAGAGTGCAGCCTGAGGAAATTGGACCTCTCTGGAGACAGGAAGAACCTGAGGGAAAAATAGAATTTGGAAAGGAATCAGAAGAAGATGACCCAGCATGACTCTACCTCCTCCAAATGTACAACAGAGAAGTGGACAGTGACAGTAAAGCTCTTGGCTAGTACAAAAATATTGCTTTCTTGAGTTTACCTGATGGAAAATTATTTGCAATTACTCAGAAGATTTGAACTCTTTGCCTTAATAATATCTCCCACAGGAATATGTCTGGCATTTTCATATTGCGGTCATTCCCCAAAATATGGCAATGAACTATGAATAGTCATGTAAATTGTCACTGAGAATCACTTTTTTAAAAATATAAATATATTAATTTCTTTGACTTGCCCCTGAAATGTAGACTAGTCTTATTGAAAGCAACAGAAAAGGCAAATAAAAATAACAACTAAACTTATGACTCAGTTTACTCCAGATGGGGTTTCAGAAGAAATGGGAAATTACCTGAAGCATTGGAGGCATAACCTGTTATATGCTTTGCACATTTTTCTGTATTTTTTGAATAACTTTTCATATTAGTTATTTGTGGCAATTACATAATCCACACTAAGACTTAAGAGGTGTAACTATATGATGATTATGCGTTTTCTTAAAGTGTCAATCAACAATAGGCATTTCAAGATCCCACAGTAACCTATGCTTGGCAGTGCACTGTAGGATTCACACATTATCAAAGGCCAGGCAGTGGATGACACAACAAAAATATACCCCAAGGCTGCCAGGTTACAAAACTTCAAAGGCAGAGATTTCTTTAGCTTTTGTGTCCTGGAATTGGACCATGCACTGGGGGTTCTTCCGCATCGCTTTGTATCAGCACCGACATTAATAATGGCCAAGTGCCTAACTGATAGATACCACACAAATCAGCTCTCAAGGTCTCACACCTTCTTACTCACTTCTGCTGGACTCAGTCACTGTTGGGATCCTATTCTGCGTGAGAAGTGAGAACTGCGTGACCTCTGAGGAGTCTTTGAGTGGCTCATTTCCTGATTTTTCAGACATAGCTTTAGTGTAAACACACTACTACATTCTATGAGAGAATTTAAGAAAACTGCCTCTTAAGACAAATATGCTTCTTATACTTTATGCAATGGATGCAATGAAACATGATGCCTGAGATCTGCGGAAGTTTACTTATTAGCTCTGGATTGTACATTCTACATCACTGAATGAGTTTGAAACAACTCAGGACCTACGTCATAATATATGAAATAGATGATAATGTGTTGATAATTAGATATCATAAATACCTGACCTAAATCTCTCATCTTTAAAGGCCACTTCTTACAGTATATTTTAATGAAGCACTTGGGATAGGATAAATTTTGTATATATAGTTTTGCTCCTACCAGACTTGAAGAATTGTATATAAACCAAATGACCATTAGCAGAGATAAATTAAAGAAATCAATGTATGTGAATAGAAATGAATGCATTCCTTCTAACATTATTTATATATAAAGTGTGTCTATTCTGACATCGTTTTTGTTTCAAAATTATAAACCCAATGTTACAGACAGCAAAACCTGATTATCCCAATGTGATCACAGTTAATTGTTGCTGTCTTTAAAAAAAATCTTATTTTGTGAATGTGTTTAGGGAAGAGGGCTTGTGTATGTATACGTCTGTGTAAGTGGATGAGGATTTGTGTTGTACAGTATATAGTAGCAATTAAAACAAAATGTCTCTGTAGATATTGGTGAGCTGGAAATTATGCTAGTTGACTAGAGTTGTTCTACTTTGCTAATTAGGTATAATTTGGGGGATTAGGCTACACAGAGACAAAAGAAAAAAATAATGAAAGGTCTGCATTTTTTTCTTAATTACCCTACCTCTCTAAAATACTAGATGTTAAACTGTATTATTCTATCTGTCACTTTTTCCTGAGAGACCAAGTGTTAAATATCTAGGGACCAGACACAGAGCTAGTTATATTACCCAGGTCAGTCAGGAGACAATGCTGACAATTGATCAATGCTGATCAATCCGTGTCTGACAAAAAGGTGAATAGTTTTATATCAGGCACTAATATTTTAGATTTTTTTCTGATTTATTTTGAATATTTCTTTGTCATCTTACAAAACCAAAGGAGACTCTAAAAGAATGTGAATTGAGGGCAGCACCTGTGGCTATAAGGAGTAGGGCACCGGCCCCATATACCAGAAGTGGTGGGTTCAAACCCGGCCCCAGCCAAAATAATAATAATAATAATAAATAATAAAATAAAATATAAAAGAATGTGAATTGATCAACTAGTCCCAGGTGAGTATTGAATATACATGGCATTTGTTTTTCCCTTCTTGTGATACTTTACATGTATAATGTTAAATAGGCTATAATTAGTTTGGACAAAATACAACAGTAGGACCTAGAATTCAACTGGCTTCCCTAGCACCACCAACTTTTCCTTCGGATTTCAGAGGTATACAAGGGAAACAGGAATCAAAGAATGCAATTAAACAATGTTACAACGTCTGGGGCCTTGGAGTGGAAACACAGTTCAGAAATGAACCTCTTTTCTCCAGTGAGAGTCAATTTTTGCTAACGGTGAAATGTGTGGGTCCAGTTTCTGTCTTCTACAAGTCACCAGCCAGTTTGCCCAGCACCATTTGTTAAATAGGGAGTCTTTCCCCCAGTTTATATTTTTGATAGGCTTATTGAAGACCAAATGACGATAAGTGTGTGGGTTCATCTCTTGGTTCTCAATTCTGTTCCATACATCTACCTCTTTATTTTTGTATAGAGTATAAATGTCTTAAAACAATAATTAAGTAAATGAGGTGAGGGATGTAGTACCCAGTATGATGTAAGCATTCCAATTGTATATGAAATCAGCCTATTGTACCCCATAAATGCATTAATGATCTACCTCTTTGATTTAATTTAAAAAAGAGGGGGAAGATAGTTGTTAATAAAAGGTTATTGTATGAAGAGTGGTAATTGAAAAAGAACATGTTAATGTCCATTTTATTCTTATTAAAATTATGAAATTAAAAAAAATATAAATAAACCTCTGTGGTTGTAGGACCATGGGTGTAAGAATGTCTATCATTACACATCTGATCATTTGGTGAATGGGCCATGTAGATTCTCTTTGGTCAGGGCAGAACTCACACAGTGACCACAGTCCTCTTCCTGGTTTTCTGTCACCTGTGCTCCCAGCATCCCTACAGTCAGGTTCAAAATGTGCTTTATAATCTCCTCTGAGCATTGGTAGCTATCAGAGGGGAGCATGGTTAGCCACGGAGTATTCTGATCTGTCCATTGTAGCTCATTGTTCATGGAGGCCCTTTTGCTTGCTTCTCTAGCAACCACCAATCTTTCTATCCAGTGGTTTGTGAACCACAGGCTCTCTGTGTCCCGGTGACTATGGGATGCAGGCTGCCTCACTGAAGCTGGATAGGACATGAGGGTTGATGGGGAGTGGAGGAATTTCACATGGAGGAATCTGTCATTGCTCTGCCTGCTCCACAGTTTGGATTTTGACAGAAAAATAATGGTATATAATTATTTGCACTTCTCACTTAACCATGCCTCTCTAGCATGAGAGACAACGTTTCTACAAAATTGAAAATGACAATTTTGTCAGAAGATGTGGGTTATCTGGATGAACTCATTGTAAGAGCTATTACCTTGAACTCTGAGGATGCCTTAACATATTAGAAGTACCAAAACGCATCATCAACATACATAATAATAGGTGTGTATGAAAATAACGTGATTTAATTTGATGAAAGTGTGCTACAACCTCTGTACCACGCCTTACATGTATAAGGGATGTCATGGTTATAAAACCATTCACATTTCGTTAGGTGGTTTACATTAAATGGGTGTATTTCTCGAGAGTCAGTTTATTCTAAATAATTGTAGCATTGTTTATATATATATATATATTTTGTTACAACAAAAAGGACCAGCACTTAGACTATTTACATAGTAAGATGGTGTTAATCTCCCACTTCCCTTTTCTTCCTCCCCATCCAGGGACCTCTGGATCTGTGTGATGACCATTGGGAACTGCACCGTGTTTAGTTACTTTATTTTCTTAGGGCTTTCTGGCAGACAGGATGTGCAGCAGGGTCTCTCTTTAGTATTCCTCTTGGTTTATGGTGTAACTGTGGTTGCCAACCTCGGGATGGTCCTGCTGATCCAGATGGACCCCAGACTTCACACACCCATGTATTATTTCCTGAGCAATCTGTCTTTCTGTGACGTCTGCTACTCTTCCACTGTCTCTCCCAAGATGCTGGCTGATTTCTTAACTAAACAAAAGAGGATTCCCTATAATGCATGTGCTATTCAGATGTATTTTTTCGGGGCCTTTGCAGATGTGGAATGTCTCATGTTGGCTGTCATGGCCTATGACCGTTATGTTGCCATTTGCAACCCACTGCTTTACACAATCACCATGTCTAGGAGGTTGTGTACCCGGCTGGTGGTCGCTGCCTACTTTGTCGGGCTGGTGGATTCTGCAATCCATACCTGTTGCACATTTAGATTGTCATTTTGTAGTTCCAACATCATCAACCACTTTTTCTGTGACATCCCGCCCTTGCTGGCCCTGTCTTCCTCTGACACGTCTGTGAACGAGATAGTAATGTTCACTTTTATCGGCTGCGTCGTGGGCTTCAGCGTCGTCACTGTGCTTCTCTCCTATGGCTACATCGTAGCTGCCATCCTCAGAATAAACTCCGCAGAGGGACGATGCAGAGCCTTCTCCACCTGCGCCTCCCACTTGACCGCCGTGGCTGTGTTTCACGGCACGCTCCTGTTCATGTACTTCCGACCCAGCTCCAGTTACTCCATGGACACAGATAAGATGGCCTCCGTTTTCTACACAGTTGTCATACCCATGTTAAATCCACTCATCTACAGCTTGAGGAATAAGGATGTGAAAGGTGCTCTGAAAAAAGCAATAAACACTAAGTTATGTTCTGGATGAAATTATGATGTCCATTTAAAAATACTCAGACTTTGAGAATTGAATTTCACTTGCTTTGACCTGAATTCCTGCAGTCTCAGTGCAACCTTCAAGGTATTTTCAGTTATTTGCTTTGTGCCTAAATCATGTGCAGGGTACCAGAATTATCATTTTTAGTCTTCTCTGTTTTGCAGAGAGAGGCCTTTCATAATTCCCTTTTCTGTTCATAAGCATGTCCCAGATTATACATGGATTATAGAAAACCCTCTTCCCACATGAGCCTCTCTAAATTTACAATGCAAGGGTGTATTTCAAAATAACTAAGAGTAAATTATGAATGTCTCACCACAAAAAACAAGTAAGTGAGGTGATGGTTATGTTAATCGGTTTGATGTAAGCATTCTACATAGTATATCAAATAATCATATCATGCCCCATAAATGTATGCAGTTATTATTTAATTAAAAATAAAATTAAAAAAATAAAAGAAGTCAATACACTGATAATCAAACCAAAGAAATGAAAAGCTCGCTTCTAATTAGTAGCAAACTGGGTGTTCTACAATAGCCTTGCTACCAAAGTACTCTGGGGTTAAGGGTAGTTAACCCTCGGAAGGACTCGGCAATATAATAGTGTAATATCAATTCATTGCAGGCAGTGAAAGTAGAGGCTAGGGAAGGAGATGTAATAAAAAAATGGGTTTAATAATCATAGTTTCTCAGATAAAGTCTCAGAGACACAATCACACTTAGTCTGCTTTGGGTTCTTCCTTGATAATGTTATTACCACATGAATATCCAACACAGCACTTTGAAGTAAATGAGCAGTAACTAAGTGAGGAAGAATAAATAAGAACTCTCTTGCTCTTTTAAACTCAAAGTTCCATATAAGAAAGGCTCTTGTATTGTTTGCCATTATTTCTGTTTTGTTACCTATAATGTTTGGGTCCAGGATGACATGTAAAAGTAGTTATTCAATAAGCAAATCAATGCCCTTACAAAAATTATGCAAAAAGGAGGCTTTGTAAAATTGCCAGAAAAAGAATTCCTTTACTGTATTTTATTTTAGTATTTTCACCTCTTGTGAAATACATCAATACCTCTTGCCTTTTGACCTAGATTTGAAGTAAGTTATCAGGGACAGAGATCATTTGACATAAAGAACATCTCTTTCTGGACCCACTGTTCCTCACCAGTAGGCTTTGATTATGTCAGCAGATGTCCCCAGGATCAGCGGCCCCAGAGATTTTTTGCACCCCATAGTCTGAGAGTAAGCCTGTGTGCTCCCCTTTTTGTCCTTATTCTGGTGAGCAGGTACAGTGCTGTTGACAACTATCCAGCACTGCCCACAGGAAGTCAGCGGTGAAGAATGTGGGCCTTCTGCAAAGGCTGCTGGAAAAGGGGCCTCAATCTCCCTCAGTCTCCCTTGATGAAGTCATAGCATTATACCATGGTAATGTTTAATGTCATTTAAAATTAAAAAAAATGAAATTCCCAAGTGATATAGATTAAGTTGTAAAGTAACAGTTGTTAACTTAAAAATATGTGGAAAAACATGAAGAACAAGTTGTATTTACATTACTCTATCACTTATAATTATCAATATGCTTCTCTGTGTAACTATGAAATAAACTGGAATTGTAGTCTAAACAAAATGCTAATACTGGTTATCTCTTAATGGTTGGATATTAGAAAATTCTATAATAAATCCCAATAATTGAATTAATTACATATGTTGTTTGTACATAATCACTTAGAGATTATAATACATCCATGAAAATTATAATTTCAGATTATTGGGCGGCACCTGTGGCTCAAGGAATAGGGTGCCGGCCCTATATGACAGAGGTGGTGGGTTCAAACCCAGCCCTGGCCAAAAAAAAAAAAAAAAAATTCAGATTATTATCAAATGTATTCCTTTTATTTTAAGTTGTTGTCATGGTCATGGAAGAAACCTACAGTCAATCTTCTATGGTCCCAGGAGGACAGGTTAAGGGGTTATGTGGGGTTTTTCACTTAGGGCTTTTCATTTTATCCTTTTAGTTATAAAATTCAATGGGTATTAGATGTTTCAAAAAATTATAGGAATTAAATGACTCATTAAAAAATTAAATTTTTAGCAAAATATTTGTCTTAACTTACTGATTGAACATAGTTGTGCAACAAAAATACTTTAGTATCTTTTAACTGTTTATTTCCCTCTATAATCTCAAATAATGTATTTGTTGTTCATAGAATACATACATCACTTCTCAGGGATTCTCCATAGTTGCCCAAATCCTTTCCCAACTCAATGTGCTCCAGTAAAAGATATTAATTTTATTACTATCTATAAAATACTAAACTCAGTGATATTTTATAAGATTGGATTCCCTTCTCATTACTTCACATATATGTAAGAAAAAATATAAAACATATTTTTCACATGTATGTTTTATATTTTTCTTCACCTTTTTCTTCAAAGATACCAATTTAATAGACTACACATTGTCAAGCCTCCATAATTTTGTTTGGTTTTTCTGTTTATTTTCATTTTGAGAAAATAAGGAAGATGGGTGAAAGCTTAAGATGAGAATTTGAACTTAGAAATAAAACAGACATGTAAACATATAAGAGGTAAAGTCTCCATCTTTCTTTAAGGCTGCAAAATATTCCACAGTGTACATATACCACAATTTATATTCTTCTTAGCAAAGTATCTCAAGAACGGAAGAAAAAGTATCCAATGTACTCAGTCTTACTATAAAACCAATTTATAGGTTTCTTATGAAAGCTATAACCCAATTATAGCCCAAGAAGAAGGGGAATGGGGAGAGGGAGGGGAGGGGGAAGTGTGGGTGGAGGGAGGGTAATTGGTGGGACCACACCTACGGTACATGTGAAATTTACTAGGTGCAGAATATAAATGTCTTAACAGAATAACTAAGAAAATGCTGTGAAGGCTATGTTAACCAGTTTTATGAAAATATTTCAAATTGTATATAAAACCAGCACATTGTATCCCATGATTGCATTAACGTACACAGCTATAACTTAATAATAAAAAAAAAGAAAGAAAACAGACATGGATTCAAATCTGTATACCATCATTTACTTCTTAGCTTTGTGACCTTAGTCATATTATGTAACACTAAGTCTCAGTTTCCTCATCTCTTGAATGAATGTAATATATATAAAGAATATTATTATCTCTATATATCTATATCTGTATTTATATCCATCATTCATACACACACACACACTCTGAGATTGGTCAAGAGACAGTCTCACAAGATGCCATGGTAACTATCAGGGACTAAGCTCCTAGCACTGAAAGAGTGGATGGTATTATTCACAGCATAATACCAGGAAATCAAGTCTCCAGGGTCTGTCTTCTATCCCCTTTAGAGTCTGCCCACCTAGCTGGTCAGACTCCAGATGCAGAACCTCTCCCTGGGCCATATTCGTAGCTCTCTGACCAGACACTGTAGGACTTATTTTTTCGAACCCTGACTTCATTCCTGGTTAGAACTGAGTATAGGTTTGTTCATGGCTGTCCATGCTGGCCACACCACTCCATTTGTTAGATGTCTGAAACTATCCTATTGATTTACATCCCAGACTCTACAACCCCAAAAAGTGAGTTTAGACAATATATCCCTGAATACCTCATTTTATGTTACTTTGTGAGGCCTTATCCCAAAGGATGTGACAAAGATGGCATACTTAGCTACAAAAGAAGCAAGATCTATCTACTGTGAACCCATATACTTCAAAGACTATTTTACATTCTGTGTGTGGGCAAAGCACTCAGTTCTCATTCATGGCATCTCAGGAAGCCATTCCAGTCTTTCTTGTTGAAAGCGCACATTGGTCATACTTAATCTCATCAGCCAGCTGTATGGAAAAATTCCTTCTTGTAAAAGTACATCCCACCTCAGTGAATGGGATTGCAGTCTAGATTTACAACCCAGAATTTACTTTCACGGCCAGAAGGCTTTCCTCTTTAATCCACCTTCCACTCAGTCATTCTACCTCACCTTTCAGTTTGACACTGTAGATTTTCCAGCCACCCTTTCTCTCTAGACCAAAACCCAGCAATGAACTAACTACTCATCTCACTCTTCGTGGGCTCCAGTTTCCACCTCTGGCTCTCGGAGTACAGCTTCCCTCAAAAATTCTAGCTGTTTGTTTACCAATAAAGAAACCTCAGACTCAAGATAATCTTGAGAAAATATGTGATGAGCCAGATTTTAATTTAGACAGTATTTGCAAATTTTAAAAAGTCACAATTGGCAATGTCCAGTAGTAATCATTTTTTTCGTAGTATCACTCTGGAGGATGAACCAACAATACTGCAAGAGACATAACTGGTTTCTTCGAATAGAGGCATATGATTTAAAAACAGTAAATAGTAGACTCATATTTATTTTGTCAAAATTGACCCAGGATCCACACTGGGGAAGATAAATAGGCAAGATATAAAGTAATGAATAAGAGTTAGCAAGTAATTCTGGTAGGGGTTAGTACACAGATACAAATAACTGTGAGGTAAGGTAGAAAATGATGAGACAAGTACATTTAAAATTCTGGAGATATTTAGAATCTGAGTAATCATGTGACACTACAGGGAGATTCAGAATACAAAACTGTGCAGGGATTAACATTTGCGGAAGGCTTTTTGGAAGGGGCAGAATTTGGACAGCTAAGCTACACCATTAATTGATGTGAAGTCCCAGTGCACTGCATTCATCTTATTATACCAGAAAGGAATTATGTCAATGGGTTTTCCATTATTAGGAGTAATTGTGATGAAAGTTTAGGGTGGGAAGAGAAAAGGAGTAAGACTATGGAATATAGGAGAATAAATAAAAGTTAAACCTGCCCCTGAAACAAATATTAGAAATTTCAACCTTAAAATCATCGACATAAGTGATGTGAGAGGGTCAGGCTCTCATGTTGGACTCTGAGCCTATTATGGGGTTGAGGGATCATCACGCACAGGTTTAGAGAACACCCACATTAAATTGGCCTTTCCAACAG